GGTCGCGGCTGAAGCGCTTGGCGGAGGTGGCCCCGGATGACGTGCCGGAGGCCCTCGAGCGCGGTGATCCACAGCCGGCAGACGTGCCGGTACCGGTGGACATGGAGGACCTCGCGGCGCAGCCGGCGCCAGCGGAAGGACCTCAGCTGCCAGCTGGAGTGGCAGTCGTGTGGAACGCCAGTGAGGGGAGACACATGCGAGTACTCGCTCTCGACGTGGCGTCGTTCGAGCTGGTTGAGCTCGGAGTGCTGACGAGGGCGAAGGCGGAGTTGCTTCCGCTCGTTCGCGAACAGGTCAGCGGCCATTGGGCCAGTGTCGGCGTGGACATCGCCGACGAGGAGGTGGACAGCATCGCCTTATCGGCGTTGCAGCTGGGCGCCGTGGACGCGGCAGAGGTGCACTCGCCACATCGGTTCTCGGCTCGGGCGGCGGAGTTTCAGCTGCGCCCGGGCTTCGCGGCGGACCTGGAGGAACTCAAGGAGGACGGGACGCCGTGGGACTTGCGGCGACCCGAGGACATCAAGGAGCTCGAGGAGCTGCAGGAGCGGATGGATCCCATCCTGCTTACGGGGTCCCCTCCATGCGAGAAGTTCAGCTTGCTGAGGGGCCTGAGCGCCAAGTTCAGGACCGATGAGCAGGAGGCGGCTGAGATGGAGGAGGCCAGACACCACCTGAAGGTGGCAGTCGACGCCTACTGGCGTCAGCTCAGGAAGCCAGGCAGGTACTTCCTGCATGAGCATCCCTGGAGCGCGCGATCGTGGGATGAGGACATCGTCAAGGAGCTGGTCGCGCATCCAGGAGTCTTCACGGTCAAAGGCCCCATGTGTCGGTGGGGCATGAAGCTCACGAACCCACGCAGTGGCCAGGAGGAGTTCGTGCGCAAGGAGACCGGGTGGGTCACCAACCACCCAGGCTTGGCTCGGAGGCTGCAGGGCACTTGCAGCAATGTGGACGGCCGCGCGGAGTGGCATCGCCACATCACGCTCGTGGGCGGCATCGCGCGGTTCGCGAAGGTCTATCCACCGAAGTTGGTGGAGGCGGTGCTGGAGGAGCTCAAGGACACGCTGAACGACGTGGGGGAGCTCAGCACCGCCCAGGTGCAGCAGTCGGGCCCAGTCCCTGTGGACGCGGCGGTGCCGCCCGGGGACTGGACGAGCTACTGGGACGACGTCAACGGCGGCTACCTGGAGGCAGGCCTTGTGGCCCAGGCTCGCGCGGTCGAGCGCGAGTGGGTCAAGAAGCAGGAGCTGATCGAGATCGTCCCGAGGTCTCAGGCTTTCGCTGAGACTGGGCGTCCGCCCATCCCACTCAAGTGGGTCGACACGAACAAGGGCGACGCGGAGAGGCCCAACTACAGGAGCAGGCTCGTCGTGAAGGAGATCAAGGCGAAGAAGCGTCCGGACGAGCAGCTGGAGGCGTCCGAGGTCTTCTCGGCAATGCCTCCTCTGGAGGCCATGCGGTCACTGGTCTCGCTGATGGTCACGTGGACGCGGGAAGCACCGCTCCACATTCAGGAGTCGCTTCGCAAGAAGGGCAGGAAGCCGGGCAACTTCAAGATCGGCTTCTTCGACATCAGCAGGGCGCACTTCTACGGGAAGGCGCAGCGAAGGATCTTCGTGGAGCTGGAGGAGGAGAGTCGCAAGGAGTACGGCGAGGACAAGTGTGGCTTACTCCTCAAGTCCTGGTATGGCACGCAGGACGCCAGCAAGATCTGGCAGGGCGACTACACGGAGCTGTTGGAGGAACACGGCTACAGGGCGGGCGTGTCATGCCCAGCGGTCTTCTACAAGGAGGTGGACGAGACAAGGCTGCTGGGGCACGGCGACGACTTCGCGGTGCTGGCTCAGCAGCAGGACATCGACAGCTTCGAAGCCACGTTGGGCAAGAAGTACGAGTTCAAGAAGACTGCGAACCTCGGCTTCGACGAGGGCGACGACAAGCAGGCGGTCTTCCTGAATCGGGTCATCGAGGTCAGTGCGGGAGTTCCGCCTGGCGGTGGCCGGCCCTGCCGGCATGCGATGATCGAGCCGGACAAGCGGCACGCAGAGATCGTGATCGACGAGCTGGGTCTCAGCAAGGCCAACGGCGTGGACACGCCGATGGAGAAGCGCAGCGCCGACAAGCAGATGATGGACGCGAAGTCAGCGGCGCTGGGAACGGCGGAAGCTTCGCGCTTCCGATCCCTCACCATGAGGGTAGCCTACCTGTCTCAGGACAGGCTGGACTTGGCGGAAGCATCGAAGACGCTCGCCAGGTCTATGCAGACGCCGACGGAGGCGAGTTGGCTCATGCTCAAGAGGGTTGGCCGCTACCTCAAGCGGCATCCCAGTACGGTGACGGTCTTCACGGAGCAGAAGATGTTCGACAAGATCCGAGTGTACGTGGACTCCGATCATGCGGGCTGTGCAGTCACTCGGAAAAGTACGGGAGGCTTCGTGGCGATGCTGGGGCATCACGTCATCAAGCACGGCAGCAATTTGCAGTCGACGGTCTCTCTGAGCAGTGGGGAGAGCGAGTACTACGCCCTGGTCAAGGGCGGGAGCGTGGGCCTGGGTCTACACAGCCTCTTCGCAGACTGGGGGCTGGACCTGAAGGTGGAGCTCGCCTCAGACTCATCGGCGGCCCGGGGCCACGTCCAACGGCGAGGTCTCGGGAAGATGCGACATGTTCAGTCACGATACCTGTGGATCCAGGAGCGTGTGGGCAAGGGCGACCTTTCGATCGCCGCAGTTCCTGGTAAGAACAACGTCGCGGACGTGCTGACTAAGAGCGTGGGCGGATCTCTCTTGAGGAGACACATGGCGACGCTCAACATCTGGGATCGGGCACCGAGTTCGACCCAGAAGGATATCAAGTGAAGGAGTGGATCGAATCCATGCTCCGCTACCTGTGGGGCTGGATGAGTTTCCGTCGGTGGCGGTAGGATCGCACCGGACGGGTGAAGTGAGGGGCTCGCGGCATGGCCGCAGCCCGGCTGACGAAATGGGCGCGTCGGCTTGGACGCGCCCGCGTGTGACGAGATGGGCGCGTCGGCTGGGACGCGCCCGCGTGTGACGTTGAGATGGGCGTGTCGGCTTGGACGCGCCCGCGTACGACGCATGTCGTGCCTGGCCGGGTTGGCGGCCAGGCCCGAGGAGGAGTGATTCTGACACCCTCCTCCGTGTACCTATTTTGGCTCAAGATGAAAAGAGATCTTGTTGCTAATCAACACATTATCTCATCATACATACATACACATACATACATACATACATACATACCTACCTACCTACCTACCTACATACCTACATACATACATACATACATACATACCTGCATACGTACATACGTGTATATGTGTATATATATATATTGATGTGTGAAGCGAAGTCCCGCGAAGCACGTGAGACGGCTACCGCTTGGTTAAATGGTCAGCCACTTGTTTGCCTGTGAGGAGCGCAGAGGGAAAAAAGGCATGGCATTCCTCAGAAACCCTCTGCCGACGCCCTCCGCCGAAGCCCTCCGCCGATTCCGACGCCGGTTGGGAAGCTTCCGATCCCTTCCAAGCGGCGTCCTGCCTCCTTGGAGAGCCACCCATGCCGCGCCACCCTCCTCCACCTCCTTCTCCACGGAGCCTTCGTGCACCGCCAGAGTCCGGGCCGCCCAGACGGGTCCAGAGCAGACGGGGTGGGAAAAGTCGCACCGCACGGCCGATACACCGGTGACGCTGCAGCGGCGTTGCGGTACGATCCTCCTGGCCACGGCAGGCTCGCGTCGCGCCGACGAGGCGGCGGCCCCGCGTGCGGGCATCCGAGGTCGCATGCCGCCGGCGGCCTGGGATCGGCCAAGGTCGGGAGCTCAAGGGCGGAACGAACCTCAGAGAAGAGCCCAGGGGAGAGCAATGCATGTATTCAGGTGCGCCGATGATCTCTGTCTTCGAAAAGGCTCCCGGGCGAGAACGTGTAATGCCCGCCCCTGGGCTATTCGCCCCTGTCGTCGCCGCCGAGAACCACGCGGTGTCAGACCAACGCCGAAGACGTCGGGACAAGAATTTGCCGCGCCCAATCTTAGTCCGGCCTTGTGTGTCAGGCAATGCCGAGGGATTGCCGCCATTCGGGGGGGTCGGCCGCTCCTCCTGCGCAGCGAGTTTCGAGGGCCAAGGGTCGAGGAGACTCTGGACGGTTTGGGGTGCTTCGGGAGGTTCTGGGGGGGCCTCAGGGTCCTGAGGAGCCGTCCTCCTCGACTACGGTCAGGATGCTGAGGTAAGCATCCCCTTTGGGCTCAGAAGGCTTTCGGGTATTCAGGCCGTTCCTTAGATTATGCCGTGAAGCCTGTTGGAGGCTTCGGCCCGCCGTGGCCAGAAAAGCCCTGTCGTTCCTTACCATTCGTCCCTGATGTCGGGGGCGGCAAAGAGGGGGTGATGACTAGGGGTGGTTGGATATCATGGCGTGGGCCACGATACTTCCCCAGGTTTCATCGCGCCTATTCTTATTTCATTGCGTCCCTGGCCCCCCCTTGGGCCGCGCACATGCCGCCGGCCATGATTTGCACCCACCCCTCTTGGACGCCCCCCTCTTGGCCGCCCCCGATGATGGTGGCACGATGGCTTTAGGTGGCGACTCCCCAAGTGAGCGACGCAAAAAACACGGGCGCTTGCGCCGATATTGGCGCGGAAGCTGCCCGCGTAAGGTCGCGCGTAAGCGCCCTCGTCTCCAAGGTAGTGTTCTGCTCTGGCGGCACGCGTGAGCCTCCGAGTAAGGTCGCGGTGCCACCTCGCGCAAGACCCGTCTCTTTTCGTCGCCCAAGTGGTGACCCCCCGTGGCATTATCTGAGCTTGGACCGCCTCCGCGACAGGGGACCCCAAGGCCCTCCAGACCCCAGAACCTGCCGAAGCACCCCAAACCGTCCAGAATCTCCTCGGCCCTTGGCCCTCGAGACTCGCTGCTCGGGAGGAGCCGGCGGCACCCTCGAGTGGTGGCCCTCCCTTGGCATCGCCTGGGCTTGGACGGACTCCGCGACAGGGAACACCTACGACCGCATCATCGCGAACTTCGGGCGCATGGCCTCCACCACGGTGCTCCCGCTGCCCGTGTGGGGAAGGATATCCCCGTGACCCCGGCCCGCTCCTCGCCTTGGGAGAAGGGAGGTGCGGTCGGGAAGTGCCCCGCCTTCTGCCCCTCCCGCTCCCGCCCCTCGTCCCCCTCGAGGTTCGAGGTCCGAGGCCTTCGGCACGCACACACGCACGCACCCGCACGCACGCACGCACGCACGCACGCGCACGCACACACACACACACACACACACACACACACCGATCTTTCGCCCCGGGCACAGGGTCGGTGTACGTGCCTCCCTGGCCAACCCAGCAGGGCGCGTGGCTCCGATCCCGGGCCCAGGATGAGCCTGGCCAGGATCGTCGGGGGCGGCCGAAAGGGGGTGATGCGTAGGGGGGGGGATCTCATGGCGGTGGCCATGATATCTCCCCTGATTTCATGGCCCCTCTTCTTATTTCAGTACGTTCCCTGCCCCCCCCCCCCCCTGGGCCGCGCACGTGCCGCCGGCCATGATTTGCGCCCCCCCCTCTCGGACGCCTCCCTTGTGGCCGCCCTCGATAGTCTCCAACCAGCCTCGAACTGATCCCTCTCCCTAGAATTGGCAAGCCAAGGGCTATAACAATTTTAGGGATGTGCCCCCGAAAACTGAGGGAATCCTTAAGATCGGCAGCACCGAGGTAAGGCGGTGCCAAGCATAGGGATAGGGATATGTTTCAAACAGGTAAATCTCCTTCGAGGCCCCCGTCCCCGTCGCTGTCGCCGTCCTCGCCACCGCCGTCGTCGAAGATCGAGGATCGATGTGGTGCGGGGAGGAGCCCAACGAGCCCAGCCCGCTCCTCTCCTTCATTGCCGCCGTCGCCGTCGCTGTCGTCATCCTCGCCGCCGCCGCAGGGTGCATGTCGATCCAATTCGATATCGATTCCATTGCCGCCGTCGCCGTCGCTGTTGTCGTCCTCGCCGCCGCCGCCGCAGGGTACATGTCGATCCGATTCGATATCAATTCCGGCCATCCCGATCCGATTCGATTCCGAGATTTCGACAAATCGAGGCAGCCCGATATTTGCAGAGCGCAGTTGTGCATCCTGGCGCGGCCGATCCGATTCTATCTCGACTCCGTGCCGATGCAGCCCGATCCGACGCGCGTTCCGATCCGATGCGATGCTGACCGATCCAGGCAGGCCCAGGATCGGGATGCATCGCTCCGCAGAGCGTCCCAGAACGCTGTCAGAGCGTTCCAGAACGCTCTGGAAAGGCCGTGGCGCCCGTCGGGTGTCGCTAGAGGTACCCCTGGCCCAAAGTGCCCCCAGGATTTACAAGGAGGCCCCCACGGCCTCCAGAGCACCCCTCACGAGGCCCAGAGGGCCCCAGGGGGCTGCAAAACGGAGCGAAAAACTGAGGGCACCTTGGGCCAGGGGGACCTTTGGCAACCCCCGACCGATACATCCTCCAGAACTGCCGTATCACAGAGATCCGGTTTATCCCGGTCCGATGTTGCCCCCTCCTCAGGAGCGAAAGGAAGGACATACACGTATGTACATGAATCCACGTTGGTTTCGAGAGCGCGCATTGCGCGAACGTTCGTATCACGCGGCTGGTCTCGCGGACTAGAGAGCCGTGTTCATGTACGTGGTTGGACGCGCACGTCATTTGTGGGCTCCCACTTCCTGGCCGCCGCCGTCGTCGCCAAAGGTCGAGGATCGAGGCATTCGGGCCCGAGGGCCTCCGGGTGCCTGCAGGGGCCACGCTGGGGGGGGAACGCCAGAGGCCTCCTGGCGAAGCGAAGGGGCGATGATGACGGGGGAGGGAGAAATGAGGACGGGGCCCTGGGTCGCTCGAAGGAGGTCTCCTGCTCACTCCCTCCTCCCCCCTGCTGCTCCTCCCTCCTCCCCCGTCCTTCCCTTCCCCCTCCTACCCCTACCCCTCGTACTCCTCCTTCCCCCCCATCCTGCCCCTCCCCTTCCTCCTCCCCTCCACTTCCTCCGGCCCCTCCTTCCTGCCCTCCTCGCCTCGCCTCCTCCCTGCCCTTCCTCCCGCCCCCTCCTCCCTGCCCTCCTCGCCTCACCTCCTCCCTGCCCTCCTCCCTGCCCTCCTTGACTCTCGGCCCCTCCCCCTCCTGCCTGGAGGGGGCAGGGCCGAGAGTCGAGGACTCTGGCCTTCGGGGGCCCTTCTGGGCAAGGGGGAGCCACCGGGGACGCCTCCCAGGATTCCCTCGGGCCCGCGGAGGGAGGGCGGGGGCGGCCACGGAGGAGATGGCGCCTGAGGGGAGGCCAGACCTCCGACGGCAGCACACCTTCGGTCGCGGCGTTCGTCCTCGCTGCGGCCTCCGGAGAGGCCGCTGTCGAGCCCGCGGGGGCACCAATCGGGCCGCAGAGCGGTCCCGGGGGAACGGGTCGGGAGAATCGGGGCCGCAGATTGAACAAGCCCACTCGGAGGATGTGTGGGAGGAGGAGGAGGAGGAGGAGGAGGAGGAGGAGGAGGAGGAGGAGGAGGGAGGAGAAGGGAGGAGGAGGAGGAGGAAGAGGAGGAGGAGGAGGAGGAGGAGGAGGAGGAGGAGCGATGAGGGAGGAGGGAGGAGGGAGAGGAGGACCAGAGCAAACCAAAGATGCACAAGCGATACTGAAAAAAGCCCTGCCGTCCCACGCCCCCTCTTCACACGCCCCTACAAGTCCTCCTCTTCACTGCAAGAAGTACCCCAAAATTGAAAGACCAGCACAGGTGGGCCTGCCACTGTGGCGAGGGCCCCTCTTTGCAAAGGAATTACCTTGCATGTTTCTGGCGCGGGGTGAGGAACGCGGAAAACAATGATCACGCAGTTCAGCGAGGTGTCCAGTGATCTCCCCTTTTCGAAGAAGGTCCGCCCCCCACCCGTGTAATTACTGAACAAGGCTACCGCTGCGGTCATGAATTTCGAGGAAGTCACAAGGGACAGCTCCATTCTGAAAAAGAGCCGCCATGGATCCGTGCAGCGCTACGTGTCCTGAAGCTTCTGGTCGTTTGAGCTTGACGAAGTCTCACGCGGGGGACCCTGTTTTGAAAAAGAAAGAACCCCCTATCCTGTTGAACGCGTTCAGGGCTGAGGCGAGAGCCACATTTTTTGAAAACGGACCGCCCCCCCATCCGCGAAGCTGCTGCGAACGTGTAGACAGAATGCGCGCGGCGCTAAGGCGAGAGCCGCATGCCCCTCCATTCGCGAAGCTGCTGGAAACTTTGAGAACGAATGCGCGCTGCGCTCAGGCGAGAGCACCATTTTGAACACTGCCCGCCTTCCATCCGCGAGCCCGCTGCAGACTATAAGTTTCAGGATCACTAGTGGTGGGCAAGTTTCGGGCGGAGCGCCCTGCCCGCCCTACCGACGAGCCTGAGGGTGCGACAGAGAGGAGTTATTCCCCAATCAGAGCTTGCCTCTGTATGGGGTCCTAGCGGATTCATATGGTTAGGTGAGGTTTGTCACCAACTTCCGCGGCCCGCCCGGGTTCCCGGGTGCCCAGGTGCTTTATTATAGCCCCATTGCCCTATAGCTTTATAGCCCTATAGCCGTACAGCTATATAGCCCCATGGCCCTATAGCCTTATAGCCATATAGCCCCACAGCCCTATAGCCGTATAGCCCTACAGCCCTATAGCCCTACAGTCCTAGCGCCCTAGAGCCCTAGAGCCCTAGAGCCCTAGAGCCCTAGAGCACTATAGCACTATAGCCCTATAGCCCCAGAGCCCCATAGCCTTAGAGCCCAATAGTCTTATAGCCCCATAGCCCCATATCCCTATAGCCCTATAGCTCAATAGCCCTATATCCCTGTAGCCCTATAGCCTTATAGCCCTGGAACCCTAGAGCCCTATGGCCCTAGAGCCCGATAGCCCTATGGCCCTGTAGTCCTATAGCCTCGTTGCCCGACAGACATATAGCCCAAAACCCCATAGCCCCATAGCCCTAGAGCCAGAGCCATGTAGCGTTGTAGCCTTATAGCCATAGAACCCTAGAGCCCTGGAACCCTAGAGCCCGATAGCCCTATGGCCCTGTAGCCCTACAGCCCTACAGCCCTATCGCCCTATGGCCATGTAGCTATATAGCCCTACAGACCTATAGCCATATGGCCCTATGGCCCTATAGCCCTATAGTCCTACAGCCCTATAGCATTATGGCCATGTAGCCATATAGCCCTATGGACCTATAGCCCTATGGCCCAATAGCCCCATCACCCTATAGCCCCATAGCCGCACAGCCCTATAGCCCCATAGCCCTATAGCCCTAAAAAACTCGGAGTGATATTTTTCTACGGTACCATGTATAAAGGAAAAATTAAAGGAGGAGGAGGAGGAAGAAGAGGAAGTTCTCACTGCTAGAAGCAAGCTGGCACTGCCTTACCTCAGCCAGCCGTCTGTTCGGTTGAGCGGGTGGGCACACCGCGCAGGTGCATCGCACCCGCCCCTCCTTCAGTCCACGACTCGCCAAGAGGGAGCCTCACGTTGTGAGGATCCGCGCGCCAGTGCAGGAGCGAGCGGCCATACGCCTCCTTGGCTTTGGCGGCAGTCGTGCCCACGATCGAACACGCGTGCAGCCCCGCTCGCTCCAAGCAGGCGGCGCACCGACCGCAGCAAGCAGATTGGCCCGACCGTTTCAGGTCGTGGCCGATGGCTTGCCCCCGCAGGGCAGGCGATCCTCGAGGCCCCCTCGATCCTCCTCCTCCTCCTCCTCCTCCTTCTCCTCCTCTCTCCCCCCTCCTCCTCCTCCTCCTCCTCCCCCTCCCTCCTCCTCCTCCTCCTCCTCCTCCTCCTCCTCCTCCTCCTCCTCCTCCTCCTCCTCCTCCTCCCCCTGCTCCTCCCCCTGCTCCAAGACGACACCCTCACGGTGGTCCGCCCCCGCCGCCCCTCGGCACGGGCGGCGTCGCAGCGCCCGCTTGGCCGTGTGGGGCGGGGCATGGCGGCAGCAGACGGTGCACCTCCAGGCGCCTAACCCCCGGGCCAGGCTGCGGGCAGGAGTGCCCTCCTCCATCTGGACGCCCGAAACGGATACGGAAAGAAGGGGTACAATGCCCAACAGCAGTTCCTG